CTTTTTCTCTAAAAATCTAAATTACATATATGTTTGAATTCTGGTTATAGTGTAGGTGACCATTTAGCATACCGTAATCAAAAGATATTTTTTTGTAACCTGGATTTTAGGGGAAAAAATCCTTAAAATAACAAAAACGCATAATCTGGATTAGTGTTATGAGGCACTTTATGACAGCACCCTGTTACGATTGCAGCGGTCTGAGGCATCGCTTGTAATTTAACAGTTCCAGTCCATATTAGATCTCCACAGGCAACCATCATGACTACAGCTTTGCATGGGAGCCAGTCTGCCGTGCGGGTGGGATATTCCGGTCCAAGGAGCCCTTCTTAGCTTCTTGGGTTATCCAAGTTAGCTAGTAGCTACACTGGTTCATTTGTTCCAACCCTGTTCCAAACTGAGCAGTGCCACCCTTAGCTCCACCTCTTTCCCCATTTTTGGATTGTCTGGGCATGACGGGACCTGTGACAGAGTCAAAATGGCAGCGATGGGAACCTCCCATTTGGGCACAAATTGTCCAGTATACATGTCGATGGTTTTAATCTGTTCCTCACCTTGTGAAGCAGCTTGGTTCAGCTATAGCTGTGGTAAACTGACTATAGAATTAAAATGAACCCCATGGTTCAGATTTAGACAAAGTAAAACTATAATGAGAAAAGTTTGAATATTTTTGTCATGGTCTGCGTCTGCGTCTCCCTCATGTGTCTCCTTGTGTGCTCCATCCCCCTCTAAGGATCCCCTTATGTGTCTCTTTGTGTTCCTCATGTGTCCCCTGGTCTTCAGCCCTCCAGATGATCCCTCCCAGGTCCTGTGTTCCTTTGGTCTCCCCCAGTCACCCCTCTGCAGTTTTTTTAGGTTCAGCTTTTCATTTTATTAGTCTCTTTAGTGTGTTTTCCCACAGGTTTTTGTAGATGTCCTTCCCCCTTAGAAAATTAGTTATTTTTGCTGCTTTTCTTGTCTTTAGGTTTTTACTCTTAGGTCATGTTATTTTCCTCCCTGATTAGTTAATTGCTTTCACCTGGTTTCTCTCCCCACACACCTGCAGCCTATCTGTCTCCCATCATGCCCCAGTGTATATAACCCTGTTTGTCACCTTTGTCTCGTTTCCCTTTCTAGTCTTGGATCTTCGT